AGTATGACCTTTAAAAAAAAAAAAAAAAAAAATTGACATTATGCCACTCAGTGCTGTTTCCACTTGTGGGGATAGCTCGCCTGCTAAAGAACCAATCATGACAGTGGTGAGAGCTGAGCAAAAGCGCTAATTGTGCAGATTATTTGCTTGGCATGCTGCTTTTAAGCTTCATTACATGATGTCAACACATTTCATTTTGCTTATCAGTAAATTAATTTTTGTAATTCTAAGAATTTAGCTGTTTACTCTATCAGCGTCTTGATTAAATCAGAACATTATTCTACAGACTATTAATTGCTTGAACTTCAGAGTCATTAAGGATGGGTTTATATCTTAGGTCTGTCTTTCAGCCATAAAGTATTCTCTTAGTTATAATTAAATCATTATCATGGCGCCAATATATAATCATCTTATATCTGACCAACAAAAAGTAATAATAACATTAACTTTTAGGGATACTTTGCCTATTTTCAACTAGTTTTGTATCAAACAATGTTGGTAGTGTGTATAATTAAATTTAGAGCTCCCTGTTCATCTCTCAGCTCAAATCAGATTTTGGCTGGCTCCAGGGCTGTTGCTCAAACTACAGAATGTACCTCCACATTTTCATATGTCCACCACTACGGACAAAAAGAGTATAAAAGCGGATCTAGAAAGACACCACCCTCCCCCTCAACTTGACTTGGAGACTTAATGCAGTCTCAATCGCCTGAGGGGTCTCAGACCGATGATTCGAACCTCTGACTTTCAGGGAGCAGCCCTACTTTGAACAATATTTCATGGTCTTCCTGAGCAGATGGCATCTAGTCAGTTGTAGTGGAGATAGCTCAGCTGTCATCATGTAATCTAAGTATAAAACTTTCGTCATGCGGTAACAGGTGGTCTTGTATGGGTGGCACAGTATATCACGTTGGGTCACGTGATGACATCTGAGCTGACAACCACCAGCTGAGGGACAAATGGTTGAAAGCTCCAGGAAAAAAAGCGAGCTAGTGGACCTTGAGTTAAGTTTTTTCCCAAACTATGTTTTACAAGGTCAAGAATGAACTTTTACACTTAATATCCATCCACCCCCTAGACCACACGTTGATACTTGGCTCTCAACTTACAGCCACTTCCTCTCCCATATTCCTCACTCCATTGCCTCTCAAACCCCTCCACCTGCCATTGTCCTCTACCATATCCTTCCTTTTGGGTACTCCCCCCCTCCCCTCTCCCTTCGCTCAGATCACCAATAAGATGAGGAGAAATGGTTTCTTTACTTGAGCTTACAAAGGGCAGATAGATCTGCAGCCACAGCCGGTGACATTTTCTTTTTTTCACCGCAGGTTTGAGAAGAAAGGGCAGAAACTGAGAGAAATAAAGAAGCAAAAGATAAAATGAAATGTGATTTAACTTACATCGAGGCAGAAAAGAGCAGTGCGAGACAAGTACAACAACAGTCTGCTTGCTCAGCACTGTGGTTATAATTCTCCCTCTGTCTCTGCCTCATCAAACCTTCTTCCACTCTGCCCTCCAACCACTTTCAAGGGTGATTTTTGTCTCTTCCTGGCAGATGTCTGGGTAAAACGCTAAACAAAGATATTATAATCTCTCCCAGAGTGTGTATGCAGCCACGCTCCACAGGTAAATAGACAGCTCTGACAGAAAGGGCTGTTTATGTGTGTGGTTTGCTGAGTCAGGTTGTGGATGACACACACTGGCACTGAGCTGAGAGACGGCTGAAGAGGAGACAGAGGGGATCCGTTACTGCCCCTCTTATAGCTGTTAAAAACGCATACATTTTCCCAATCCAATGCCAGAGTTCAAGTAAAATTCCTATTTTTTAAAGCCTACCCTTCTCTTACTCTTACCAATTGTCTTCCTCTTTTTTTCTGCTCCTTCCAAGATGGTGAACCTCAGTCTCTCTCACTTGTGTCTTTCTTACAAAAGCCTTTTCTGCCTGGGTGGACAGCTAGACAAATGATTTTGTCGGTCGTGCGAGGCAGGGGGGTAATTTTTAGGTGAGCACAGCGCTTCAGAAAAGACTTGCCACATTGAAATTAGAGGTTGTCAAATGCCGCACGTCTCCACTGATGGCCCAGCACGGCCCCCTTATGTTAATGTGGCATTTCAGCAAGAGGAAATAGAATTAGAGGGAGGAGGGGGGCTGCTGGTGGTTGTTGGGTAGCATTGTCACATGTGCACACTTTGTCTTTTTATATTCTCTTATCTGGAGGATGACTGTTCTTGGATGCATTTGAGTTTGCAAATAGCATACAGTATATATTTGCTTTTGCTGCGGGAGAGACGATTTTCTAACGTGCAGAATGTTTCTTTACCCATCATTGATGGCTCCTACACACATGCTTAGCCCACCAGTGGTCTGTTAAATGGCTCCTCTGTGTTTATTAATGTTAGCTTGAAGAGACAGACACAGCAAGTAAGGTACTGAGATTTATTATGAGGAGGATTTCATTTTTATAGAATGCCATTTAGCAGTGATCATCTCTTCTGGAGAGATTAGCATATCCATCAAGTAGTTACAGAGATTAAACTCATGACCTTGTGGTTGAAATACTGTCTCTATAACCATTAGGCTATCATATTTAAGTTTTATGGACGTGGGGTTTCTTTTGGACACACAACATACAATCATTTGTAGTTTACTGTCCTGTTTTTCATATTCCCATTCCTCCCTGTGTTATGCTGTCCTGATCTCCTCCCTGTATGATGTGTCACTGCCAAGCCCCCTCCACTCATACACAAAGCTTGGATGTGGCCTGAAGCCGCTGGTGTCGGTTAGGACTGATGTAATCAGTCTTCTGGGGTAGATACCACGAGGATGAATTCATCTTTAGAGGCTACTGGGAGTATCTGTGTGGACCACAGAGTGCTGAGGTCATGTTATTTGGGAAGGAGTTGCTCTGGGCCGAGTCTCCTGGCTTGTCTGTACGGTTCCGTGTCCCGCAGGTGTTGTCCACGCAGCTGCAGGCCAGATGTTTGTGTGTATGCCTGTCAGTGTTCATGAGCCCATCAATCACACATTTGTCAGTCTGTCATCGATGGTATCCAGAGAAAACACTTTCTCAGCTCGACAGGAAATCCCCACAAACTGATTCCAAGGCTAACTCCATGATTTGTTTTTCTAGAATGTCTTTACCTCTTTTTTTTTTACTTGTAAGAGTACACATTTATTCTAACTTAAAACAAAGACAACCAATACACTAAAATCTATTATAGTAGCTTGACCCACCTTCCTATTTTGCTTCAGCGTAAGGTTAAGGCATAGAGGTCAGGCATGCTTTACTGAGGTCATCTATAGTTGAGTGTCAGGTTCCCTAGCTAGAGTTTAATATAGAGCTCCCAACTGCTCCAAAGTCTCATGAGAGATGGAAATAGTACCCAACACCCGCCCCTACTCCACCTCATACTCCTCATTCCTCGTGGCCTCACCAGCCCTACCATTTAATTTCAGCTGTTTCACACACACACAAAAACTTTCTTTTCTTATCTTTGTAGATGCCTGATTTTGAATCACATTTCTTCTGCCCTTTACAGCCGATGAACTTTTTGGTTAAGCAAAGGCATGACACCAGCCTTTTTGCATAGAGATCCAGCAATTCTGCTGCAGCAAAGACCCTTCATTAGGCTTTTAGAAGCAAACATGCCAGCGTTTAGTGTGTCATTACTTATCAGGCAGCACTTTCTTAACAATAAAAATGGAATAATATGGCACTAACAATCATTTACTGCCCATGTTATATGGTGGTTGATTTTGTGCAGAGGATAGGTAGCTCCTTGACCTTATTGTGTCCCAAATTTGCCGTAATTTTCAGCTGCTGTTCTTCGTCTTTGAGTTAGCTGCTAACTGCTGCTCACTGCTTTTTAAAATCTCCCTGTGTTGAGTCGCACACAACAGGCTGGTCCTGCTGTCTCACACTTTCTACACAGATGTCGAATCAGCTCTGTTACCCCTGCTGCCGGTTTAAGGTGGAGCAACAATGCCCCCCGATTCCGTGTTCAGACCTTTTGTACAAAACGGCCAGGCAGAAGAGGGTGCAACATTCCCATCTTGAACAGGCTGTGTCAAAGGGGCGACTGTTTAAAGTGACGGCAAATGTGGGAAGTTAGAAATCACAACCAGTGCGTATCCTTTGTTACCGTGTGTTATAACCGCAGCCGTCGATCCTCATCCAACTGTGACACACTCATACGAACACACACACAGGATGAGCAGGATGAATGAATGCCTTTTCTCATCCTGCATACCACAGCATTCCTCTGCTGCGTGAATTTGTATGAGCTACAGAGGCAGTCAAAGTGGGGTGTGTGTGAATTAGAGGTGAGCGTGTATGTGTGTGTGTGTGAGGGAGAGTTGGAGCGGAAGTCTCTATTGGCAGTGTGCGCGTGAGTGAGAGAGAGAGGTCCATTAGTTTTATCTGACAGAGGGATCAGATCTGAAGGCATATACCTGAGCGATTCTCTGCGTCTCTTCTCCGCACCTGCCCAGCCGCTCGCACATGCTGCTCTATTAGAGAGCAGCCACAGGGGAGTAACAGACAGAAAGGATAGACGGTGGCCTTAACCCCTAAATAATGCAGCACTTAACTTTTGTGGCTGGCATATAGACTAACTTGCACACAAACCCACATTCACAGTTGTTTTAGTCACAGCAGAAAAATTGCTATATCCTGCAGGTATTAAGAAGCATCCATGCTCAGCTGTCACATATTTTTTACATTTGCAGGCTGTGATGATTTTTTTTTTGTGAAGTACTCTCCAGAAACAAACCAACACAATTGTTTGTCTATAAAAGACAAACAATACTCAAGGCAATTGACAAATTTCTGTTGTTTTTCCTTTTCTTTTTTACAAGAGATTTATATGCTACATTAAGCCTTTGCCCAGAAGTCAAAATCAATATGACAGTGATATATCAAATACAAAATAAAAAACATGTTTGATTGTACTGTTGTTGTTCACTTGCTCACCACAGTGTACGTGTTTGTGTTTTTCAGAGATTAACAGAGTGCGTAAAGACATGTACAGCGACACAGTGAATGGCCTTGTGGACAGACACCCTCTGGAGCTGCCTGAGCCTATCGGACCCATCGTCCACCTGCAGGAAAAACTGTTTGTGCCTGTCAAAGAGTACCCTGATGTAAGTAGCTGGTTTACACACCTCACACTGTTGCAGCTGTATCACAGAGCCAATAATACTAGTGCATTTGCGGTAAAGAAAATAATTAAGAAGTAAATGAATTGCTGATATAGTATGTCTTTAGAAAAAAGCTGTTTCCTACTCCAGTTTGAGGGTTGTAAGGAAACAAGATACTTGTCTTTGCTTGTATCAACAGCTAAATCAGCAGTTGTAGTAGACTCAACATTCCTGTGGACACTTGTAGTTCGTCCTCTTGCCTTTGGCCATGCGCCTTTTGTGGTGTGTCATTCCTGGAATGACAGCTGCCGATACTTCAGCAATCTGTTTGCTCTGAGGACATACCCTCTGTCTCTCTTCCTCTCTCTGTTTCAGTCTCTCTCAATTCTTCATGTCATACATTCTTGCTCATTCCTCAGCGATTCCTCTCGCTTTTTGTTCCTTTTTCACACAAGTCTTGACTTTTGTTAGTTTGTTAAAAAACAGTTGCTGGACTTTAAGCCTGTATACCAAGTTGTTAATGGACTGTCGTTAAAGCTATATCAGATGGCAGTCTAAATTGGTCTCAGGAAAACATGCATACAGGGGTGTTTATGGGCTGACTCAGTGGTAGATTAGTCCTGAGAAGGAGAGAAGTAGGGGATTGAGAGGAGGAGCGGTATGAAATGTAAAGTGCACCTCCATAAATATTCAGTTGGAAGGAGATGGAAATCTTTTGGACTTTGGCATTGGTTAGTGCGGTGGCGTAGACGGCTTTTCTGGGATGGAAAGATACACACATTTGCATGCACACACATAGCTGGGAAAGAATAGTACACCGTGGCGCTACCATACTGCTTGTAGAAATGAGGAGGACAGGGGGAACACTGAAGAGGCGAGTCAGTAAAAGCTTTGTCCGGAGAATGACAGTTGTGTCCGTTCGCTGGTGTCTACTATATGTAGAGCCGTGTAGCGTGTGTGTAAGGTTTTGACCACGGTCAGTCAGCCACCTCCCCTGTCCTCATGGTAATCTTTGGCCCCCACATGAATGGTTGTGTCACATCTTGAGGAGCAGCGTTTCTCTTCGTAATCCCAGCAGCTTGCAGCGAGGAAATGAATGGAGGGAGGTGACGAAGGATAAGAGACACTGTAGAGCAGAGCAAGACTCAGCCAGGCGTGGATTGCATTTTCCCCCTGACAGAATTGATAAAGGGCACCAGGGACTGGCTGGGATCAGCTTAGCTCCAGCTGACCCTCAGAGCAGGCCCAGCCTCTGAACTCGAGCTAAATCAACCAACCACAACACAGTCTGTCACCTTTCATCGCTAGTGCCAGGACTTCAGGTCTTTGTGCTGTCCCCTAATTAGCTGTAAGATTTGTATATTTGCACTTGGCTCTAATTGCTCTTTTGCTTTAAAAAATCTCATTATCCTTGATACTTCTACAAAAAATGATGATTTAACCTGTGCAAACATACCTTTGTGACATTAAAAACATACATTGTTGCATTTATGTGCTCTACATTAAGAGAAAACAATGATATAAGGGAAAATGTAAATGTGGTAGGGCTGACCGTGTCTAGTATTTGGATCAGTGAGTTGAAGTTTTCTGGTCAGCATTTAATTGGGTAATAAATCACTGTTTTTGTTGAAGCTGGTTATTTTATTTAAAAGGGCATGTGTATATTTGAGACTGTGGTCTTCTTATTGAAATGAACTATTCTTTCAGTTCCCCTGTTATGCTTTGCCTTACTACTAAAATCACTGCATTGTGTCTGTGTTTGTGGGTGTATGTGTGTGGCGGTGTTGTGCTAACTCCTTTAATGGCCACATACATTTTACAGAAGAGTTTGGGAGGTCTGTGAAAATGTGTGGAGCAATTTGTGCCACCTGTGGCTGAAAAGACACTCTTGGAATGACTCTCACAGACTCACCGACACAAACAGACTATTAAAAGCATGGCATCCTCGCATGACCCCTGTGTTCCCTTTGCTCAGTGTGCTATGCTGCTCGGCACAGAGCACGGCTGTAACTCAGTATTGTGTTTACGAGCTGCCGGGAAGGCTACTAAATTAATTAGGCTTCCCCCTGGTGGCCGAGAAGACTCACTGATAACCTTAGGAGACACTAATTTATACACACACTAACATGCACAAAAAGATGCACAAGTAGGGGCAAATACACATGCAGGGTGAGGCAAAATGGCACATATTTCACTTGGACATTTTCTGCTCTATTTTGGTACACACATGCACAGCCCTTCCACACAGTGTAGTCATTAGGTCTGCAGGAGAAGAGGAAAATGCCAGATAGCTTTGTTATATATGGATGTGATGATTGGAACCAGGGGAAATCAGCAGCAGGTCTAAATTGAATTTCTTTCCTTTCTTACCTCTCCTGTTTAGAGCAGAGTTTATGTGCAAAAGCTGCAATAACATTAACATTGTGCACATTTTAGAATCACATTGGCCTTTTTTCCAACTCATGAGTGTTTGAATTTCACCAGTGTAACTAAGTTTTGCAGGCAATCCTTTTACCTTCCCCTGTTTTGTTTTCACTGCTGCTCCCACTGCCCCTTGCAATTTTAAGCTGTTGGGTTGAGCAAAGAGGGAATGAAATTTTGGGATTTCATTATTTGAACAGCAGACAATGGCAGATAAAGTGTAACTGTGTGTGCATCAGACTTCCACCTAGAGCCGAGCTTGTCTTGGTGCTCTGTAGTTTGTGAAACAAAAAACAAACACAGACTGAGCTACAGTATCTCTCTATCCAGTTAGTGTTTTCAAGGAGGATAAAAACTGGAGTCATTTAGTGGTGGAGTAAGAGAGGAGATGATGTAGGATCGGCGTGAAAGGGAAGAGAGGAAAGAACTGATGGAGGAAGGGAAGAAAAATGTCACTTCCTATCCCCATCTGCCCACTGCTAAAAGGGGAGGAAACTGTAATGATGATTATTAGACTGGGGAATATTTTCCCCCCTCTCACATTTCCGTCTGATTTCCCAGATACCCCTCCCCATCTAAGAGGCATATGTGTGTGCGCTTTTGTGTTTGTGTGTCTCGCTGATGCAATTCTAGGTTCTTCTAAGAAAGCGGGGAATGATGGGCCAAGCCTCTGTTCTGTGTTCATGGCAACAGCTCACCTGCCATGGAAGATTTGTCAGCATTCATACTATTTCCCCATCTTTTCCTTCTTTCCTTGTCATTTTAGGACACCCATCATCCACGTGCCTGTCTCTCAGTTTCCACTTTCCTTTAAAAACATAACTCCCACTTACCTTTACCCACTTTATCCTTATGCTGAGGTCACACCTGCTCGATGGGGCTTTCTCTGTCTCACCTACGTGTCCCCTGCTCTGGTTTCACCAGTAGATAATTAGATTGTCCTGGTGCCTGGATGCAGTGCAGCATGTCAATTCTACCAAAATAACTTGCCTTGCCAGCACGCCTCTTCTCTAATTCCCTTAAGTGTGCCCCTCTCCTGGCCTGTGTGTACTTGCCGGTGTGCCCCACATCTGTCTGTAAATGTGTTTATGTGTCTCTATCATTCTGTCTCCCCGTGTGTCTGCCTCCCCACTCCCTCACCGTTCTTCAAAGTCAGCCATTTCCTGATGTCGTCAGTGGTGCAGAGCACTGTGAAGCGTCACCGTGGTGACTGCATCTTGACTGACAGCTGAGTCGCAGGCTATCTGATAACTTCAACCTTCAATTAAATGCTATCTGTGGCTCTGCTCCTTTCCCGAGCAGACGCTCACACACACATTGATAGGCAGCTGACTGACAGCTCAGCATGTCATTTCCGTTGACCTTCAGGCATCTGATAGAATGTGTGACATGTCTTTTAAGTGCATCTCTGTCTCTGCTTTATTCCCTGTGTGTTTGTGTTTGCCAACTGTTAAATGCCCAGGTGGGTTGCGGGCAGGTCAGTGGGATTGTAAGAAATGCTTAGGAGTCAAAATACACACATGCACCCTCAGACACCACCTCTGCTGTGCTGACTCTATGAAATGGGACCCTCGGTTGGATGTAAGCTGTTGAGCAACTGCTAAACAGGACTATTTGAACTCCTCTCGCCAGCTTGAAGAGGCCTGAGAGAAGAGAATGATCACTTATATAGATAGGTCTGTAAAAACATATTTGCAATACCTCTGTGCTGCTGGTGTGTCTGTGGCATTAGTGTTTGTCTGGTGTTTCGGGGGTTGTCATGGTACTTTAGGGTTGTTTGCCTCAGTAATGGAATCCTTTTAAAGCCCCCCCACACCCACAGTTTCCCCTCTTCCGCTTCACTCGTCGCCTCTAAACTAAAGATCCTCAGCGGAACACGTGTTTGATCCCCCTGCAAGCCTACATTTTTTGGTTATTAGTCTGTGTTTTGAAGGCAAATGAATCCAATCGAACACTGCAAATGACTTGTCGGCTTAAAAAAAACCACGGAGTGGTTGATCAATAATGGCTCTATGCACTCAGATGTCGGAGACGGGAGATTGTTTTCTTCTGTTGTTGTTCATCAGTGTATTAAAGCTAAAAGAGAGGCCCCCATCAACTTCGCCTTGTCTCATCAGGGCTTTTCACAGGCATATGGAGTTGCCAGCCAGTGGGGCCTCTACTGTGATGTCATACATTTATTTAGGTATGACGCACAACTTTTAAATTGTGTTATATAATTTTGTCATACAAGTCTTTTGTGTGTGTGAGCATTAGCTCTGTCAGGTTATGGAGGGAGAGGAAAACTGCGCTTCATTGCCCACTGATGCTTCACTTGGACTGCAATGCACAGAGATTTGAGAGTACCAAAAAAGAGGCTCTGGTGATTTGAGCAGACAGGATGTCCTGGACCTTTCTGTTTCACTGCAGTAAAATAGCCTGGTCCAAACCAGCCAGTTCCCTGCACAGGGAAAGTCATTAAGCTTGTTCCCATGAGGGTGTCATCACTTATCATGCCAGCTCCTGATATCCTTCTGACCCCCTTAAGTCATTACCAGTCCTGGAAATGTACCGCCCCACACCTCACCTCACCTCACTGATAG